TGGTACCGTGAAGGAAGACTTGTTATGGCATCATCACTATCAATTTTGGCTACTTTGAGCATCATCCGCACCACATTCAACGACCTCATTCCGAAGGAAATAAGAAATTACTTGTTGAGATTCATCCGCCGTTTCTCATCGGAATTCACCTTGGTTATCGAAGAAACACACGATGGATCAAGCAACCACCTCTTCAAGGCGGCCATGGAATACCTCGGCAGCCATCTGCTGTCCGCTTCATCTGCCGAGGGTTCCCCGAAACGGCTCACCGTCGGCAAGAGTGAGAACGCAAGGAAGATCAGTTTCGGCCTTGACAAGCATTCGGAGATCGTCGACATCTTCCATGGTATTCCCATGAAGTGGAGATACAACGCTGATGTTAACACAACAAATAACCAACCCAGATCTGAATCAAGGTGGTATGAGATTAGTTTTCAGAAAAACCATGCTGAGATGGTGAAGGGCAAGTACATACCTCATGTCATCGACATGGCCAAAAACTCAAAGACCAGAACCGGATGGTGAAGTTTCACACTATCAGACGTGAAAGGTGGTGTTCCGATACTATCAAACTGGACCATCCTATGACGTTTGATACATTAGCCTTGGATGGTGACCTAAGAAACACTATCATCGAGGATCTTGATAGCTTTATCAATGGCAAGGAGTACTACAAGAAAATTGGAAAAGTGTGGAAACGTGGTTACTTGCTGTATGGTCCACCAGGAACAGGAAAATCAAGCTTGATTGCAGCCATGGCAAACCATCTCAACTTTGATATTTACAACATGAACTTATCTGCAATCTACTCAGACTCCTCTCTCGAGTATTTGTTGCTCCATGTGTCGAATCGTTCGATTCTTGTGATCGAAGATATCGATTGTACAGTCAAATTGCAGAACAGAGAAGCAGGGGATCAAACAGCGAGTCATCCGCACGGACAAGTAATTCCTGAACATACGAACTTGATTCTTCAATTTTCCCTTGGTACTATCCTATGAAGGCTCTTAAATTCCTGTTGTTTTCAGGCGACGCTTTCCGGACTACTGAATGCCATTGACGGCCTATTGTCGTGCTGCGGAGACGCGAGGATAATTGTGTTCACCACCAACTATAAGGACAAGATCGATCCGGCCCTGTTACGAGCTGGTCGCATGGACAAGCACATATGCCTGACCTATTGCACGGTGTCTACGTTCAAGCAACTCGCGGCCAACTATCTCGGCATTTCGAACCATGATCTGTTCTCTCGAGTCGAAAAGATTATCAAAGAGATCAGTGTTTCCCCTGCTGAAGTTGCCGGTGAACTAATGAAGTCCAAGGATCCCATAAATTGTCTGGAGGGCCTAATTCAGTTTCTGGAGAGCAAGGTAATTTTTTAACCAATTCATGCTGATGTTATTAAGCAAGTCATCTTGATGGTGCCAAAAAAGGAAGAAAGTAAAGCATTGAACCATAGTTTCATTACATCATAGTTTAAATACGTTATAATGTCAAAATTAGCCCACAATATTTATTAAAATGATTATTTTGATCTTTACTCCTTTTTTTTTGGAGTATTTTGACCTCTAATGTTTCATTTTAGGGCAAAATGGCACTTAACTTTTGATATTTTAAAGTAAAAAGACTAATATTTTGGAGTGTTAATCATTTGCTAACTAACGATTTCCATCAAAGTAGGAACCTTTTTACCCTAAAATGAAACTTGGGACTCAAAATGCTCAACAAAAATAGAACAAGAACCAAAATGATCCTTTTAATAAATGTTAGGGGCTAATTTTGGTATTATACCTTTAAATATATAAAGAAATTAGGCATAATGACTACAAATGTCTCTAACATTAGATTAAATAGTTATTTTATCATCTATTCTTTTTTTAAAGCATTTTGACTTTCAACATTTTCTTTCGAGGCAAAAAGGTCATCATTGGATGAAAACTATTAGTTAGCAAATAATCAACACTCCATGGGTTTTTTTTTTCTCCTTAAAATCAAATGTTGGGGTCAAAATATTATAGCAAAACAGAACAAATACTAAAGTGATTGTTTAGTCAAACATTAAGAGCATTTTTGTCTCAAAACGAAACGTTGTGATGAAAATGCTCTAAAAAGAATAAGAACAAAAATTATTATTTAATCAAACATTATATGTATTTTTTTAACATTATACCAAGAAATTATAAGAAGTTTTGTATCCAACACTAATGAAATACTGATAATGTAGTTTGCATCTAACAAATCATCTAGAGATGGATAGAGGGGGATGACTAGAAGATTGTAGCTTAGAAAAATTTTAAATTATCATATATTTTATATATTTTATTTATATTTTCTATTGATAATTTATTTTCACCTCTTAACATCTTATAAGTTCGTCCTTTTAAATTATTATAGATTCATCTTCTAACATAAAATTCTACGTATATCCCAAATTAATCATCAATTGTTTTAACCTCCATCCATCAGGCATCGGATTCAGAGGCAAATTCAGAACAGCCAAAGCCAGAAGAGGAAGGTGGCAACAATAAAAAGCAGGAGAAAGTTTCCAAAAGCAAAGGTTCCACCGAAACTGACATGAAAAACAGTGACCCCCCAAACCATAATGCCATTACATTTGTGGTTGTGGGTTGTAATTCAACGTCAGTGGGAGAATACACAATAAAGGAAGAGCTAGCACCAATTCTTAAAGCACTTTTTATGAAGCACGGTAACATTGTTTCCAACTGCTCATTGAAGTCAATGCAATGCCGTTCATCTCTCCTGGAGATTGCCTGTGGGATTATTCACAAACTACAATCAACTACATTGGACGACTTAACAGAACCCCAGCTACAGTCCATGCTTGCAAGTGTTTCAGATTTGGAATCATTGAATTTGCAAGTTGGTTGGCTACATAAGAGATTGGATGAAATTATTGAGGCGCTGCAACTAGTGAAGCCTTCTTCCACCCTAAAGGAAGATGACAGGAAAAATCTTTCTCAAACCATCTCATGCAATGAGCCTGAATTGAGCTGTTTCTATCAGAGGTCTTTGGTGGATGGGCTGCTTTGATCCCCTATTGACAAAAAGGATTGATCATGTTTCCCTACAATAAATCAACTGTAAGAAAATGGGGTTCATAATCTGTATATGTTGACCGTTATTTCTAATTTTCTATACTATACTACTATTGTTACCATTGTATTTGGAAGCTAATATGTACGTCTCCTTGGTTCTTGGTTGCCATTCAACCATTTAGTTCATGGTTATAGCTATTTACAACCATGGATGAATCAAAAGGATTGACGGAGTTGTTCTCCTAAAAATTTTAAATTCTCATATAATCTAAATATTTTTTATATTTTATACCAATAATCTATTTTTTATTTAAAATTTTATAAATTTTTCTCGTGATATAAAACAATAGTACTTATGAAATAATTAATAGGTATAATTTTTACAGTTAAGCAAAGGAAAATGAGAGAAATGAACTTGGTTACAAACTTATAATACACAAGTTTCCCCTCATTTACAGATTTTCAATTGCAATGTTTGATAGCAATGGTAGCGTGACATTTATTATTGTAAGCCATTCGAGTTTGGTTATCAAATTAAATCAAATTTAATTATTGTTAAGTCGGTCTGAAATAATTTAAATTATCAAGTAAATTAAATTCAAATATCTTAATAGTTAATTCAAACAGTTCTAAAATCAAATCGAATTTTTATTCATAGCATTTTTAATATTTATTACACATTACTCTTAATATATATAAACCTAAATTTCAAATCCTAATTTTGTTATTTATATATGAAGTTTTGTTATTCAAACCCGAAATCATATTGTTTGAATTTGATAGTTCAGTTTTATTTTAAATTAACTTTGGGCTTCTATAGTAATAGTAGGTTAAATCCAAACCAGGATTTGAGCAGTGAAAATTGAATTGAGTTTCTGTTAGCTCAGTTACAAATACATGATTTTATATTAGATGATGAATTTATAAAATTTTTAGAGACTAAAATAGATAATTAAGAAAAAGATTAAAAAAATATAAAATATATGAGAATTTGAAATTTTCAGTGCCGACTTCCCTATATATCTTTTCTCTTCATCCTTAGTTACACAACCGTATCTTATCTATCTCCCAACAAGAATTTAAATAGCAGTCTGTTACCGCAATAGTGTCCATTATATAGCGGTAGCGATAGCGTCCCAAAACTATTATTTACATGATTGTGATACCCACAATCACCACAATAACATTCACTATGTCTACAATCACGATAAACATAACGCAAACGAAAACGCGATCATGATTGCATCCACCATTTAAATTCATGCTCCCAACTTCCTTGAAGCTAGCGTGTAGCATCATCAAAATGGTTCTTATCTTATTATCCAAACTGATGAGTTGAAGTAGAAAGTAAGTTCTCCCCGTTCTTACTTTTGAAGCAAACGACAAGTCGCCACCCCGCCTTGTCCTCCAACTTTCACCTGCAATGTTTGTCCGATTCTCTTGGAAAGTATCATCTTTCGGCTACATCCTCACTCTCCATTTCGAATCTAACTTCAAGGATCCAATGGCGTATCCGAATCAGCCGCTTTCCATGCATAGAAATCATCAGGCATCTCTCCATGTAGTATAAATAAAAAAATAACCCGAGCATAGACGAACTTTGTCTTCATTCAACAGTAATCTTGTCATCACCCTGAAAGCTCCATTTTGTTTCCTTTTTGGAGCTTTGGATCGAGTTAGTAACGTAGCATTACTATCTTTGTTGCAAATATTCATTTCCATGTTTTGTTGCAAGATTAATACAGCTTTGCTTAAGCAGACGAAGGGAAATCTGAGGCTTAATGGAAGGGAAGTAGGCCGAAGCTCTGAAATCCAGATGCTCAAACATTTCGAATGGCGTATCCGAATCAGCCGCTTTCCATGCATAGAAATCATCAGGCATCTCTCCATGTAGTATAAATAAAAAAAATAACCCGAGCATACACGAACTTTGTCTTCATTCAACCGTAATCTTGTCATCACCCTGAAAGCTCCATTTTGTTTCCTTTTTGGAGATTCGGATCGAGTTAGTAACATGGAATTACTATCTTTGTTGCAAATATTCATTTCCATGTTTTGTTGTAAGATTAATACAGCTTTGCCTAAGCAGACGAAGGGAAATCTGAGGCTTAATGGAAGGGAAGGAGGCCGAAGCTCTGAAATCCAGATGCTCAAACATTTGGTGTTTACTTGCTTTAGTACTTGGGGTTCTTGTAGTAACAGCAGCTGCACTTACTGTTTTAAAGCACTTTTTCAAGAATCATCGAACTTCAAGTCACCCCCTCGACAAGAAATATGCTGATGCTCTTGAAGTAACTCTTCAATTCTTTGACGTACAAAAATGTAATCCAAGTTATACAAATTTGTTTTTTGTTTTTCTACCTTCTTATAGGGATTTAAGATATATTTGGCTTTTGCAGCTGGCAAGTTGGTGGATAATAGGATCCCTTGGAGAGGGGACTCGGGTCTGGAAGATGGGAGTGAAGGGAATTTGGATTTATCAAAAGGAATGTATGATGCTGGGGATGCAATGAAATTTGGGTTCCCAATGGCATTCACTGCCACAGTGCTTTCATGGGCGATTCTTGAGTATGGTGATCAAATGTATGCTGTGAAGCAACTGGGATATGCTCAGAATTCGCTGAGGTGGATCGCAGATTACCTTATCAATGCACACCCTTCTGAAAACGTTCTTTATATCCAGGTAACTTGTGATTCTTGTAAATGGATTCATTGCGAAAGGGATCGAGGAATTATGTTCTGTATATTTTTGTGGTTGAAGGTGGGAGATCCGAAACTAGACCACAAGTGTTGGGAAAGGCCTGAAACCATGTCAGAGAGGAGGCCTGTAACACAGGTTAACGCATCGTTCCCCGGAACAGAAGTTGCGGCGGAAACAGCAGCTGCGCTGGCATCAGCATCCCTGGTTTTCAAAAACAACGATCCTGCTTATTCAAGTTCACTCCTTATGCATGCTCAGCAGCTCTTCACCTTTGCTGATACTTACAGAGGCTCTTACAGCGTCAGTATTCCTCAGGTGCAGCAATTTTACAACTCCACAGGGTATGGAGATGAACTGCTGTGGGCTGCTTCGTGGCTCTATCATGCTACACGAGACGACTGGTACTTGCAATATGTAACCGAGCTAAACGGTCAAAGTTTTGCTGATCCGAGTACAACTTGGTTCAGCTGGGATGACAAGCTTGCTGGAGTTCAGGTCCTGCTGTCTAGGATCATCTTCTTTGGTTCAAAAGACATGCCGACAATCGAGAATCTCCATCTCCAAATGTATAGGAAAGCAGCAGAGGCTGTCATGTGTAGTCTTCTACCAGATTCACCAACAGCCACATCAAATAGAACAGATGGTAACTTTCCTATATAATTTTGATGATTCTCCTGTTAATTTTGATTGTTCTTGGCTTAAACCATAAGCAAGAACCACCTGGTTACCGGGTTCGGGTAGGTTTGCAGCCCGTGTCTTATAGTTTGAAATATTCTTCCGTTGAAGGTGGCTTGATATGGATCACAGAATGGAATCCGCTGCAGCATGCTGTGGCATCTGCATTCCTAGCCATACTTTACAGCGATTACATGCTCACTTCGCAAACCGAAACACTGTATTGCAGCGGAAATTCATACAAGTCTGATGATCTTCGCAACTTCGCTATCTCGCAGGTAAATCTTAACTGGTGGCAAAGGAAGCATTCCTTCCCTACTTTGGATTTAAACAATGTATCTGTACATTTTGTTTTTCAGGCAGATTATGTGTTGGGCACAAATCCCATGAAGATAAGCTATCTTGTTGGTTACGGTACTAGGTACCCCCTGTACGTGCATCATAGGGGAGCTTCAATTCCGGTGAATGCGAATACCGGCTGCCATGACGGATTCAAGTGGCTTTATTCGGACAATCCAAATCCGAATATAGCTGTTGGAGCAGTTGTTGGCGGACCTTCCTTGAACGATTCATTTTCTGATACTCGAAACAATGTGAAACAAGGTGAAGCAAGCACATATAACAGTGCCCTGCTCGTTGGCCTTCTTTCAGGCCTTCTCAGAAAGTCATCCTCTTATACGTAGAAAACAACTCTCAATCAATTCTCAGTACATCTGAATAGTTTTTTAGCTTGTAAATTCTTTATTAGATCCATTAGAAAACAGAGGGTTCAAATATATGAAAATATGTATAGTCTTTTATATTTTACTCAAACTAAGAAATTAATCTTTATACTTAAATATGAGAAATCTTAGCTTTTTATTTTAGAATTAAATATTTACTTAACCAAAGGACCAGACAAGGTGACCCCCTGTCGCCTTACCTCTTTGTTTTGTGTATAGAACGACTCGCTTAAACAATTAAGCGCTCGGTTGATGACAAGCTCTGGAAGCCTATTCGTATCTCAAGAGGTGGACCTGTTCTCTCACATTTATTCTTTGCCGACGACCTTTTTCTTTTTGCTGAGACATAATTCAGAGTCATTCGAGATTTCTGTGAGGCCTCGGGTCATAATGTTGATGAGGCTTTACGAAACGATATTAGCCATGGATTCCAGTTTACCTCAGTAGATGATTTGGGGAAGTATCTCGGAGTGCCGTTATTGCATCGTCGTGTTACTTATGCAACGTATCAATACCTTGTACAGAAGGTTCGAGATCGTCTGACAGGTTGGAAAGCCAAACATCTTTCCATGGCAGGGCATGTCACTCTTGCCAAATCAGTTTTGGTTGTCCTTCCAAGTCCCATCTTATGCGATTCAAACATGTTTATCAAAAGGTATTTGTAATGATATTAAGCGACTTATCCGCAATTTCATTTTAGGAAGTATCGAGGATAAGCGCGCTGTCCACCTAGTTCGATGGGAAATTCTTTGCCAACCTATACGGCAAAGTGGTCTTGGAGTATTCCAAAATGAAGATCTCTTAATGAAGGTGGGTTTCCGTTTGTTTTCAAATCGAGATCAACTTTGGGCTCAAGTGCTTCGAGGAAAATATAAAATGCATGAAGTTATTTCTGAATCGATCGTTAAGAATAATTGCTCTCGACTATGGAGTGGTCTTGTAGATTTAAATGATGGTTAGCGTTGGGCTGATATTATGAATTATCATCCTCAGCCAACTCGGTTGTACTTGGTAGCAAAGAAACCTCCTGTCCATAATGGAGGCTCGGACTCACCTGGATAGAGATGGGATAGCAGACACATATTCTCTACTAAGAGCGCTTACAATGAAGAACCAATATGGACTTGAATGATGATACCTCTATTTGGAAATTAAGTTCAAGATACAACGGGCATCCTAGAGTAAAGAATATGCTTTCGCTTAGTTGGGGTAGTTCTGCGGTGCGGCGCCTAAAAAACGGCTAATATACGGCGTAACCGGTAAAACAAGTAACCGGTTAAAATTTAGACCGGTTATGTTATATTATTTAACCGAAAATATTATAAAGTATAATAACATACTAGGTAGCGCTTATATAATGTAATAGGTAGGCTTATATTTACCTATTTTATAAGTAAACCGGTATATTTATACTGATAGCATTGCAAATTTACCTATTACATTATAATATGTTGAAAGTGTCCATACTTTTTATAAAAAGGATCGATAATTTTTTTAAAGTTATGTAATTTATGTTTCAATTTTTTTTAATAGTGTTTCATGTTTTTCACCTACAATATTAATTTAATAATTTCATTTGCACAAAAAAATTATTTGATTGTTTTGATATTTTATAAAATAATATTTAGAATTTAAATTTAACAATATTAACCAAAGATAATAATAAATATGTAATATATATTTTTATTATTTTTAATTTAATAATAATATATATCCTAACGTAAAAAATAAATCATTAGACGCCTATAATTACTAAATTAATATCTTAAAACTCACTCAAAAGATAACCTTAAATTAATGTTTTCCACAATGAAAAAAGTATGGACACTTTATAAAAAAGATAGATACTTTACAACTACCTATTACATTATATAACGATACCTATTACATTATATAAGCGCTACCTATTACATCATATTTTTACCTATTATATTGAAAGTGTCCATACTTTTTATAAAAAGGATCGACACTTTTTTTTAAAGTTATGTAATTTATGTTTCAATTTTTTTTAATAGTGTTTTATGTTTTCCACCTACAATATTAATTTAATAATTTCATTTACACAAAAAATTATTTGATTATTTGATATTTTATAAAATATTATTTAGAATTTAAATTTAACAATATTAACCAAAGATAATAATAAATATGTAATATATATGTTTATTGTTTTTAATTTAATAATATATATATCGTAATGTAAAAAATAAATCATTAGACGCTTATAATTACTAAATTAATATCTTAAAACTCACTCAAAGATAACCTTAAATTAATGTTTTCCACAGTGAAAAAAGTATGGACACTTTTATAAAAAGGATAGATACTTTACAACTACCTATTACATTATATAAACGATACCTATTACATTATATAAGCGCTACCTATTACATCATATTTTTACCTATTATATTGAAAGTGTCCATACTTTTTATAAAAAGGATCGACACTTTTTTTAAAGTTATGTAATTTATGTTTCAATTTTTTTAATAGTGTTTCATGTTTTCCACCTACAATATTAATTTAATAATTTCATTTACACAAAAAATTATTTGATTGTTTTGATATTTTATAAAATAATATTTAGAATTTAAATTTAACAATATTAACCAAAGATAATAATAAATATGTAATATATATGTTTATTGTTTTTAATTTAATAATAATATATATCGTAACGTAAAAAATAAATCATTAGACGCCTATAATTACTAAATTAATATCTTAAAACTCACTCAAAAGATAACCTTAAATTAATGTTTTCTACAATGAAAAAAGTATGGACACTTTTATAAAAAGGATAGATACTTTACAACTACCTATTACATTATATAAACGATACATATTACATTATATAAGCGCTACCTATTACATCATATTTTTACCTATTATATTGAAAGTGTCCATACTTTTTATAAAAAGGATCGACACTTTTTTTAAAGTTATGTAATTTATGTTTCAATTTTTTTAATAGTGTTTTATGTTTTCCACCTACAATATTAATTTAATAATTTCATTTACACAAAAATTATTTGATTGTTTTGATATTTTATAAAATAATATTTAGAATTTAAATTTAACAATATTAACCAAAGATAATAATAAATATGTAATATATATGTTTATTGTTTTAATTTAATAATAATATATATCGTAACGTAAAAATAAATCATTAGACGCCTATAATTACTAAATTAATATCTTAAAACTCACTCAAAAGATAACCTTAAATTAATGTTTTCCACAATGAAAAAAGTATGGACACTTTTATAAAAAGGATAGATACTTACAACTACCTATTACATATATAAACGATACCTATTACATTATATAAGCGCTACCTATTACATCATATTTTTACCTATTATATTGAAAGTGTCCATACTTTTTATAAAAATGATATATACTTTTTTTAAAGTTATGTAATTTATGTTTCAAATTTTTTAATAGTGTTTCATGTTTTCCACCTACAATATTAATTTAATAATTTCATTTACACAAAAAATTATTTGATTTTTTGATATTTTATAAAATATTATTTAGAATTTAAATTTAACAATATTAACCAAAGATAATAATAAATATATTTTTCACAGTGAAATAAGTATAAACACTTTTATAAAAATGATATATACTTTTTTTAAAGTTATGTAATTTATGTTTCAATTTTTTTTAATAGTGTTTCATGTTTTCCACCTACAATATTAATTTAATAATTTCATTTACACACAAAATTATTTGATTGTTTTGATATTTTATAAAATATTATTTAGAATTTAAATTTAACAATATTAACCAAAGATAATAATAAATATATTTTCACAGTGAAATAAGTATGGACACTTTTATAAAAAGGATAGATACTTTACAATATAACAAGTAAAAATATGACAAAACCAGATTCATTATGATAAAACCGGTAAAATTTACTTGATATGTTAAAAGTATGAACACTTTTATAAAAAGGATAGATACTTACCGATAACCAAAGTTTACCGGTTACCAAATTTTTTAATAGTTTTTCATATTTTCTACCTAAAACATTATTAGTTGTCAACATAATAGGTACCGCTAAACCGAATTTATTAAATACATTTTAATGTATCCGGTACTACCGTATATTAGCCGTGTATTAACCCGCCTTTCCTGAGACAATCCCTAGTTTAGTTGTAGGGGCAACTTTCTTTCAAATGAAGAGCATGTTGGAAGACATTTATCGTCCGATGAGGGGTATTTGATTTGTGGTGTCGCTGTGGAATCATCATGTAACACCCTAAACTTGATTTGGGTTAAAGTGTCATACTGGACTGTCGAGGCAAGCCCTGATTTTAAAACATGTTCATTTCCTTTTCAAACATACTGAATGGTATCGTAATAAATCATAAATAACTTATATAAATCATTTTACAAAACCGGAGCTCTGTGACACATAATTTAAAACAAAATAATACAACTTGAAGTTTAAAACTCAAATACATAGTAAGGTTCTATGAATACACATACCCACTAAAGCTACAATATAGTACTCTCTCGGATATGTTAGAAGTCCTGCTGCGACGGTGCTCCATGAACTACCCAAACTACTAACCTACCAACGAAAAACATCCGAAGACTGAGCTTACAAAGCCTAACAGCATAATCACTAATCTAGAGCAACATAAGAATTCATAAACATAGGCTTGCTGAAGACATGGTATTAAGCAGTAGGTGCATGAATGACCTAGATCAAGTGTTACCTACTTAAGGCTTTACTGCTCTATAATTGAAGTAGGGGTATCACGCTTCCCTTAATCCTCTGCTAAGGGTCTCGACATGAGTACACCTCTAAAAGGTCTCTAACCCTAACAACTGAACATGCTACGCATTATCTAGATGCAACACCGATATTCCTATGCATTATCTGAATGTAAACTTGAAATACTGTGCATTATCTGAATGCAAATCTGACTAATATATGTTCTTATATAGCTCTCTGGAACTAGTTACTGAGGGAACCCCAGTGTCACATAACATCGGCGTAATTCCCA